GTTTAGAAGGGGAATTCGCCTCGTAGCTTGTGCATTGTTTTGAAAGAAATGCAGTTCCACGTTATCTTTTTTGGACAAGGCAGCGCTCGAATTACATACGAGTCCTCTTCCCACTCCTGGTGAAAATAATACGTTTTTGTTTGCTTGCTAGCTCGTTTGTCGTTCATTTTTTTCCGCCTCTCTGCCATGTTTTGAACACGTGACCCTAAAGTCTTGCGGGATCATGTTCRGAGTGCGGTTTCACAGCACCCAAAACTCACRAGAAATGGAAAGCGGAGGGAGCTGGAATGTGTTTAAACTCCTTCCACCTCCACCGCTTCTGCCGGAGTTAGAATGAGGCTCACCGAGCTTGCGGACATGTCCCGGGCCGGCCCGTCTGCTGTAGACTCTAACAGCTGATAGGTTGCGCTCCGTGTTCGACYGGGAACCGGCCGAGGATCTTCAGGTCAATCGCGATTGACTGGTTGGACACCCCTGGTCTAGATGAAAGACTGACTTTAAAGTCCTGTTTGGAGCCAGACTTTGAGGACCTGATCTGACTGAGCTGTTCCTCATGATCTGAACTACTGTTGTCTCTGCTAGCAATTGTAGTGTGGATCTCCTTCCAGCTGTTAGCAGACTGGTTCTATTTATTAATGACCTGTATTTGAGGAATTCAGTGAGTTGTTTTCCCAAGTGGTTTTCACTTCTAATCTTGTGGTTTTTATAACACAACTGTTCATACATCTGAACAAATCTTTTTCAGACCTATGCTGACTATATGAGCAGACTATATGAGCGAGAAATCAAAGACTTCTTTGAGGTTGCCAAGATAAAAATGGCGGGAACATCCAAAGAAGCAAAGGGAAAGTTTGGTAAGAGCTTAGATTTCCAGTTGAATGCTAACACAAAGCATATTTCTATTTATTAAATGTTTGACTTAAAGTTTCCTATAGGATCGTTTTTTCTCTCATCTGACAATCATGGATGTATTTTTTTGTTGTTGTTGAATAAAACAAACTTCCTACAGACTTTTCTACCTCAATACATTTGACCAAACTCAAAGTCTTGCTTTTTGTCTTATTTTGCAAACATGTGCTCTCTTCCCTTTGCACAGGCATGTTTAATGTCAAATCTCAGTATTTAGCATCTGAATAGGAGCTTTGGTTGAGCTTTAGTTTCGGCAGACTTTGCTTTCTGCGTTCTGTTTCAGCTTTTACCTCTGAAAACAAAAACCACGATTTGTTTTCCAAAGGTTTGTGTGAAGTGCTAAGCCACTGCTAATGAATGGCCGTAACTTTGAACATCTAACATCTAAGCCTCACCTCTCCCGTGCTGCATGTCTCAAGCTTAACTTGTGTCTGTCTTTTTGCTAACTGGCTGCAGCTACGCTTCCACGGAAAGAGAGTGCTCTCAAACAGGAAACAGAAAGTAAGTATGAGATCTGATTCACTGTGTCCCTTTAACCATCATCCATGCAACCAAATCTTCTCAGTGTCACTTTATCACATTTTCTAATTCTGTGATTAATAACAAAAAGCTAACAGTTTGCTACAATGGTTATTATTGGTTTGAAATCTTGTTGGAGAGATGGACTTTCTTTAAGCTGCAGTTTGTTTGCTTCTCACTGAAACATGTTTGTCATGCTCTACCAGGCCTGCACGGCAGCTCCGGGAAGCTTACAGGCTCCACTTCCAGCCTGAACAAGCTGACAGTGCAGGGCTCCAACAGCCGCCGCTCCCAGTCGTCCTCCCTGCTGGACATGGGCAACATGTCTGCTTCTGACCTGGACGTAGCAGACAGGACCAAGTTTGACAAGGTAAGGTTTTAGAACTCTGGAGAGCAAAACACAACACCTGAAACATACAGTATGTGTTTATTTATCATTTCATCCATCCATCCATCATCCATCCATCCATCCATCCATTGATCCATCCATCATCCATCCATCCATTGATCCATCCATCATCCATCCATCCATTGATCCATCCATCATCCATTCATCCATTGATCCATCCATCCATCCATCCATCATCCATTCATCCATTGATCCATCCATCCATCCATCCATCCATCCATCCATCCAT